CTTACATAGCTTTCTGTTGAGTAGATGTACCGTAATATATTTAACTAGGACTTTATTAATGACATTTGGTTGGTTTCCAAACATTCACTATTGCCTCACTGCAAATCTCGTATCTTTATTTCACACATGTGTGAATTGGGGTTTAGTATTAACTCTTAGAAATGAAATTTCTGGCTAAAAGAACATATTCTTTTCTTAAATTTTGGTTGATAATGTCAAAATGTTATCAGGACTGAATTAATTTAGACTCCAGTCAGCATTGTCTGAATGAGTGCTTGTGTCTCACCCGAGCCTCCCAACTGAATGTTTCTAAACATTTGGTTGTTTTCACTTTCAATCTTTCTTTTCATAATCTCTGGATTTTGAGTCAAAGTTATAAAAGCCTTTTCGATCCAAAATTATAAAACATTTTTCGGAAGAGAGATGATTGAGGAAATGAAATGTGATACTTTAAACAAGCTTTTTGGCCCTGGCCAGATACCAGATAGCTCAGTTGGTTAGAGTGTCATTCCAATATGCTAAGGTTGCAGGTTCAGTCCTGACCAGGGCACATATAGGAATCAACCAATGAATGCATAAATGAGTACAACAACAAAGCAATCTCTCTCTCTCTCTCATCAATAAAAGAGCTTTTTGCCTCTAAAATCACTTGGGTATTGGGTCAAATAAATCCCAGCTCCATTCTATGACCATAGGCAAGTTTGCATCAATTTATTAATCAGTAAACATGAAATTACAAATACTACATACTTTATGGGATCATTCTGAAAAATAAATTTGATCTTTTTAACTAGCTTAGCATTGATCCTGACCCATAAAATTTGGTCATTTTTCTTATTATCACGGACATTTGTCCTTCTCATTATACATTCCTTAAAGAATTCATGGCTTCAAAATATTCCATTGTGTGGTCATAGGTAAATCTCAAGTGTTAATATCCACATGCTGCTTTATTTACCTACTAGAGGCCCGATGTATGAAAATTCATGCAAGAGTAGGCCTTCCTTCCCCCAGCTGCTGGCACTGACTTCCCTCTGGCACCCGGAACCCGGGCTAGCTTCCCTTGGGCTGCCCGCAGGCATTCAGGACCGGGGCTGGCTTCCCTCCAGCCCCAGCTTGGTCAGGAAGGATGTCCAGAATGAGATCCGGAAGGACATCCAGTCTAATTAGCATATTACCCTTTTATTATTATAAATTCCAGACTTTTTCTTGGATCTTCAGCCTTACTCTTCTAGCACTACCCTATAATCCTTTTTTTTGTATTTATTTATTTAATCATTTTAATCATTTTTTTTAATTTTCACTTTCAGTTGACCTACATTATTATATTAGCTTCAGGTGTACACCTCAGTGACCAGACTTAATTACTTATTACATAACTTAATCCGTGATCACCCCAATAAATCCCTCACCCATCCAGCACCATGCCTAGTTATTAGAATATTATTGTACCCTATAATGCTTTTTTAAAACTTTTTAACCTTGAAATTCTTGAAGACCCACATCGTTGGTGTTTGGCTGATGCAGAGCAGTTATTGTGTGAAAGCTTTGTGTTGCTAGACTGGCCCTTCAGTTGAGAAAGTGGCTTTTTGAGAGGATTTTTTTTGGTCAGTGCCCACTGGTATTTTCAGATAGCCAGCCTCTTTAATTCCAAGTCTAGGACGTATGAGGCCAAAAGGAACCCTGGGGAATTCACGCCATGTTGTTCCTCAGGTCCCAGCTGGTCTGCTTCTCCTCTCCACCTTTCAGAAGCTCTTATGTTTGTTTTCTATCTAATATCGAGAATTTTCCATTGTGGGGAATAGAAGGATGAGGGAACATGTATATTCTCCATCGTCCTGGAAGAAGAATTCTTATGTTCTTTGTTAAAAGGCAGTCTGAGAAGAAAAACAGGGCTCAAGTTCAAGCTTAGTTTCAATTTGAAAAATAATAGAACTCTCCCTCAGAAAGAAGCCCCTGTAAGCAAACCACCTCCTTGCACTGAGCGCCTGGTCATCCTCGGTTGCTGTCCAAGCCCTGAGAAGTTGCTGCACCTGGAGTCAGAGGTGTAAAGGACTCCCAGGGAAACGCCTTCAGGTGGAAACTCCCGGGGCAGACAGGAAGCCTGGGGGGCTCCGCT